TTTTTTCAAATCAAAATAGTGCAAAAGCACATGTCGAAAAAACACTTTATCGCGTTCCATTTTTCACAAAGCAAAAGAAATTGTTGTTTAGGAAAATAATTGTGTATGCTGACTGAATGTTATCGAGAAATGTCGAAATTAATCACAAACTACCTGTTTCGTTAGTAATGACTACTAGAACTGTTTGCATTGCCATCTAACATTTGCGGGCGGAAACTAAGTTAAGGTCCTAATATTTGCGCCAAGTTCTACCCCGCCACGGTATGGTTGAACTTTCTCAATTTTAACGCAGCGATCTGTAATTTATCTCAGCCACTTTGGCGCAAATTAACACGTTTTCGCTTTAATCTACTTCTCCGTTAGTTGGCGCCTTATATCGGGTGATATGATATTTCCCCAGCAACGGCATAAAAATACGCCCTTTGCGCTGAACTTTAAATATTGTCTCTCTCTCCCGCGGGAAAAACGAGCCGGCGTTTACCTCGGTTTTATGTTAAGGGTCCGAGGCGGTGTGGAAAAATGAAAGCATCGTAAAGTGGTGAAAACTTTGTATTTCAAAGGTGTCAACAACGCTCGAGAGTAATGTCTGACTAACGAGAAACAACGTTTAACGATGTACCTGCGATCCTGCATCACGATCGAGCCGTAATCGTTTTCTCGAACGACGCTATCGCCGAGAAAAAACAAAGCGGGTAATGGGTAACAGTATTCAGTTGGGTGCTCTCCTATGACAGGGTTGAAGAATGCAAACTTTAATGTGAAACACGACTCCCCACGCGAAAAGCGCCACACGAGTGAAATTTTATAAATTATCGCATGTTAATGCAACGTCAGCAGAGAACATTAATCGGCTGTTTAGTCTGAAAACAATACGATGTGAATTGTACTCAGTCAGGCAATAAGTTTGAGTGAAATTTATGCGCAGATCGATACGCAACTGCATAATAAAATACTTTCTCTACACTCTACACTCTACTCTTTCTCTTTGAAACGATATTGGGAAAATTGCAGCAACTTTGCTATCAAAGTACGTACAAATAATAATAATGTCATCTTTCATGGTCAAGTGATAATTTTCTTTTACAATTTTCGCGCACGAGAGTGTGCACAGAGGGACTTAATTTCCGAATGTTCCGCTTCCAAGCAACCCTGTCGTGTTTGCGCCATAATCCGTCCACTACACTTGCACGACCGCTACTTGCTCCGCGGACTCCGTTACTCCCGGCGGCTTTGTGATCTTCAGAACATCCTCCACCGGCGGTGTCACGGGGACTGCCGCGCTCTCTTCCGGAAATACGTACTCTTCGTGGGTCTGCGAAGCACCGAAGTGATGGCCGAAACTTTTGTACTGTTCGTGATCGTGGCCCTCGAACACGGAATGATGATGGTCCTCGTTGTGTTTGTTGTGATGCTCGTGTCCGTGCTTGTGGTGGTGGTCCTCGAAATGTTTATGTCCCTCATGATGTTTGTGACTGTGCTTGTGTTCATGTCCCTCGTGATGCTTGTGATGCTCGTGATGATGATGGCTCTCGTGATGATCGTGATGATGCTTGTGGTCGTGGCCGTGTTTGTGGTCCTCTTTATGCTCGTGGCCGTGCTTGTGGGACTCGTGATGATGATGCTTATGATCCTGATGATGGGAGTGATGATGGTCCTCGTGATGTCCGTGGTGATGGTCCTCCTTGTGCCCGTGTTTGTGCTCATGCCCGTGCTTGTGATGATGGTCCTCGTGATGGTGATGCTTGTGATCCTCATGGTGACCGTGGTGGTGCTCCTCGTGGTGGCTGTGCTTGTGCTCGTGCCCGTGCTTGTGATGATGATCGTCGTGATGATGATGTTTGTGGTCTTCGTGATGGCCGTGTTTGTGGTGATGACCGTGTTTGTGATGATGATCCTCGTGATGGCCATGATGATGCTCTTCATGGTGGCCGTGTTTGTGCTCGTGGCCGTGATGATGCTTGTGGTCCTCCTTGTGCTGATGCTTGTGATGTTCCTTGTGTCCGTGTCCGTGATGATGGTGATGGTTCTCGGTTTCCTTGTGCGTGTGATGATGGTGATGCTCGTTGACGTGATGATGATCGTGGTGATGATGATGCTCGTTGTGGTGATGATGCTTATGATGATGATGATGCTCGGATTGATGCTTATGCTCCTCATGATGTTCGTGCTTGGAGTGGTGATGGTGTCCATGATGGTGTTTGTGCTCGCCGTGATGCTTGTGCTCGTGGCCGTGCTTGTGGCCGTGCTTGTGACCGTGATGATGCTTGTGCTCATGGCCGTGATGATGCTTATGATCGGAATGGTGCTTGTGGCCGTGATGATGTCCGTGATGATGGTGGTGACCGTGATGGTGTTTGTGGTCCTCGTGATGCTTATGCTCCTCGTGATGATCGTGGCCGTGCTTGTGCTCGTGGCCGTGATGATGCTTGTGGCCATGATGATGCTTATGCTTGGCGTGATGATCGTGATGCGAATGATGCTCGTGATGATGGCCGTGGTGGTGTCCATGGTGATGTCCGTGCTTATGATGGAAGGAGTGCGATCTATCGAAGTCGTGAATCCTGCGCTGCGCTGATTGCACGACCGACGGAGTTACAAAGGTTACGTGAGTGCCCGGCGATGGTTCCGTTATTCGTGTGATGACCTGGCTCGGTTGCGGGCTGATTCGCGGAACGATGCTGCTACCTAGGTTACCCGCGCCAAAGGTCGTCGGGAGAAGCGGCAGCGGGGTCTGGCTATTGAGCGGTAACAATGGCTGGAAGTTTAGCCCAAGATCGCTTAGCTGCCGTTTCTTCTGGCTTCTTTCGGACGTCGAGATAATACTTGCCGGGGATGATCGTGGCAGCTGCAATTGTCGCGGTAGTCTGATGGAGTCGACCAGTTCCTGCTTGGCCGTCAACACTTGCGGTCGAATCTCATTTCGTGTTCTAGGCTCCTGGCCGGCCGCTGCTGCCAGCAACAGACAGACGACCGGAAACCACGCCTAGAGTGACGAATGGGGTTGGTAAATGGGACCGTTGGTGGAACGTTTCTTAAATCGTTAATCTATCAAGGACACCTACCTAATCGACGTTAAATCTAGACAATGTTAGTTATTAGTAATTGTGTACAGTGTGCAATATGCGGGACTTCCTCTTTAGAACTATTTGTCGTTACAAATATACTATTTTCCACCGCGCCTAAATCGTGTGTATATCGTAAAACAGTTTACTTATTCTAACTAGCGGTTGCTCTCGAAGAAATGGCACGAATAATGGCTGTTTAACCTGTAGAAGACACCAAGCGTGTCGTATCAGGTATTCATTTTCGTGGCGCACGTGTGGTGCGCGTGCACGCTCGAGCGGAAGGGCCGGAGATAATATCCAGTAAATCGTCGGGGAGTCGTTTTATCGCGCTTCGGCCTTCTTGCCGCGGATTCCCTCGAGAGAAGAAAGGGAGTGAAAGAGAGTGAGCGAGAGCGAGAGCAAGAGAGAGAGAGAGAGAGAGAGAGAGAGAGAGAGAGAGAGAGATATCGGTCGGCTAACGAGAACCGAAATCATATCTCGAAGGTAGGAAAATCAGCATGGTCAGCTGCGGGATGTTTGCCGCGTGGAATCAATTAATCACCCTCTAATATAGTCGCACCCGTGATTTATTCGAGTTTCTGGCAGGACCGACGCGCGTAGGAATTGGGAATCAGCAGAAGACGACGACGACGACGACGACGATATCAAATTATTCTTGGAGATTCGCTTTTGTGATTCACTCGGCCGTGCGATCCGACTCGACGAAAGTAGATTGAATCTGTGATGCGATTTCGCGCGCTCTATCTGCTTTTTTTACGGCTTATTTAATTGAGTCGTCTCGAAATTGTAACGGCGCGCTTTACTTACTTATATGTCGCAGTTTTTCCTTCGCGCGCGCGGAGTCGACAGTTTTGATTTTATCTATTATTCACCGAGCCGTAAGTGTCCCAAATTAAGAATCGGGTTATCGTGGCATACATAATTCGGCCTGTCTTTTACGACCAAGCTGTGTTATTTTAAACATTAACTCTTGTAGATACGCGACTTAATTCACACCGGGAATCCTATTTCGGCGAATTCTATTCCGCCGACGGTACTTTTAGATTTTGCATTATCGAATTACGTGTACGTGACCTCGTATACGCGTTTCGTAAACGCCACACTACGGCGGGAATAGATTCGCGACCGCGAATGCAATTTTTATTCTCCATCGATCTCGAGTAAATCGTATTCTTTCGAGACGAACGTAAACTCTGGAAATAGCGTAATACCCGCGGAATGTATGTCGATTGCAATCGCGCCCAGCGGAGCGGTCGGTACGAGAAAGAGAAAGAGAGAGAAAGAGAGAGAGAGGCTTTTAGAACGATTATTTAACGCTTTCAATCTCCCGAGACGGGAACAATTAAACGCTCGATCCAATTAGAATCGAAAGAGTCCCCATCGAAGGGACTTCAGAAGGACGGAATCTCGGTTTCCACCCTCGACTCTCTTCAACGTTTCTGCTTCCGCAATATCTCATTCGACGGCGTCGCGACGCCGCCGCTAATTTCCTCGCTTCGTCGTTCGTGAAGGGAACTGCAATTGCAGCGCGGGCCGGTCCGCGATGGCGCCCGCGATGCGCTGATATATTCTTCTTGAAATGCAAATGTTCCGACGCCTTTAATAACTCGGAATTTAATCAGCGACAAAGCAATTTATACAAAAGATTCCGGACGCCGGCGACGCGCCCGACGTCGTCGCTGGACGCGCGGCGCCGTCCGCGACTACGACGACGACGATGACGATGAGAGACATGATCGCGAGACGTGTTTTGGACGACAGACAGCGAGGAAAACAGAGAGAAAGAGAGAGGGGAAAGAGAGAGAGAGAGAGAGAGAGAGAGAGAGAGAGAG